TTTTTTTTTTTGATAGTCTACTTGATAAAGTGCTTAGATTACAGACAAACTTAAAATTAGGCTGTTTATGATCCAATATGAAAAAAAATCATTACTGCTTTTATAGACTCAATTTTCATATGTTTCGTTCTATCAAACTTCCAACTTATCTTTAGTTGCCTTTTTTTCTTCAGAGTACAAAGTTTGAGCTGTTTATTTGTCATTTTTAACTTTTATCGTATAACACAAAAAGTGTTAACACTAAAGCAACTAATCAAAAATTAATTAAGCATTCCAGAAGAATCTTTGATAACGATTAGAATTTTTGAAGATAGTTCATACATCTTGAGGTAAACCACTTAAGAGTGAACATTTATTTTTTGAAAAAACTATCGTTTTAGAGAGCGAACTTGTTGAGAATTGATAAAAATAATCTGAATTCAAAAAAGCATCTCGTAAAAGTTCAGAAACTGCGCAAAAATTTTTTTTTGCACAGAGAGATCAAATAGTTTCTTTAAAGCAGTGGTAAACAAAAAAAAAAGCAGTTGAAGCAACTGATATTTTTTGAGGTTAACAATTCTGAAACTGCTTTGATTTTGTAAAAACCTTTTTTTTCTTTTCAAACATTGTTAAATTGGATATAGAAGGGAAACGGGGGAACTCAAAAAGCTTAAATTTACGATTTTAAGATTCACCACTTTTGCTACTCTTCAACTCTCTTTTCCTTATACTAATTATCATTTATTTAAGTATCCTAAATTATGCATTCACCGCAAAAAAAAGAAGTTTTGAAAAATAAAGCCTGATAAAAAGTTTCTAGTAGCAGTTTTTTTTTGAAAAAAAAAAGCTTCAAATAAATGTGACTTTTGTGGCTATGCAGTGACAAACTATTTAATGGTTTTTGTGATGATCAATTCAATAAAAAAAACTTTTTATTTTTGAAATAAAGAAGTCATAAACAGTTACGCAAAACAAAAAACTGTAGGAAAAAAAGAGTATTATTTCCATGTTGACCCATTAAATATGTCTACCGTTTACATAAATTAACTATGTATCTATCGAAAAGTCAAAAGAGCCACTGATCAAGAATTTTTAGACCAATATTTGGTCAGTTTCAATTTATTCAATGAACAACTGTTTAAACAATTAGATGCTTAAATTTCAATAGTAATTTTTAAAATTTTCAATTGATGAAGATCAAATTTTAGACAAAAAAGTTTGTTCATCTGTCTGCAGTTGTTTAGGCTTACATCTCGCCTGTAAAACCTACTACTTTTGCTAACGATGGTTATGGCTTAATAAGAAAGTTCTATTTGGAGATAGAGATTAGTCGTTATCATCGTTATCACTTTCAGCATTATTAAAGTGAATTTTTAGCTCATAGAGGAAAGACGAGAGATTTTTTTTGTCTCATGAATTCTTCATTCCGTACCTAAAAAATAAAAAAAATGGTTTTTTTTACCAGGTGATTTTTTTTTGTAACGTAGAAGAAAGTTTATTATTTGCTTTATATGTTTCAAAAAAAAAGAAGTTAGAAACAGCTAAACTATATAGTTCATAAATTATTCCTTTATTATAATTGAACAAATTTTCATGTAACAAATAACTGCCGTATAATTGTTTTCAATAAGCACGTGCTTCTTTTCAGAATTCATAAAATTATTAAACTAAAATTCAAGCATCTATATGTGTCAAAAAAAATGACCAGACAATTTATGGAATAGTATTATTAATAGGTTTTATATGTAAAAAAAAACCGCTACAGACCTAAAAAAATTTTTTTTGGCTGATTAATGCCAAGTTAGTGAATTGAACAAAAATTAGAGTAGAC